GATTTGGTATGGGAGAACCACAGCCTTGTCCCTGGACATCTCCAGGTGTCCCATGATTGCTGCAAAGTGTATCAGTAATGATGAGTGGCCAATTAGGATGTTGCTACTTGCTTGCTGCTGTTTGAAAAGGATATAAAAGGAGCTGGGATTTAATAAAAAAAAAGATCTTTGAGATAACTGAGTCCAACCACTACGCTGAAACAACCTGATATGCTAGAGGGTTTTGGAAGCCCTCTCCTTTTCTCCTGGCTCCAGGGAAATACCCAAATCCAAAGGGGTTCTTTTACCCAACCTGCCTCAAGGCAGCAGGATTCCCATAAGAATGACAAAGCTGGCCAGACTTGCCTCACTTCTATTGGCACAAGGCAAGGTGTTCTTCTGCTTCTGCATTTGCTTTTGCATTTTCAGAGTCAATTCCCTCAACTTCCCTGCATCTGTTCTTAGCTTAAAAAGGTTTCCTGCCCTTTCTGCATCCTTTGGCCTGATGGTAGGGTTGTGACTCTCACCCAGGGCCTGCCTGCTCTTGAGGAAATAATCCATTCTCACAAGCCTATACATTGTAGGAGATGAATACCTTAGGCCTTAACAGAGAACAGAATGCTATAATGCTTCCAACAAGAAGGTCTCTCAGCCTGTAAATCCCAGTGATTACTATTTTCTTGCCAAGTAGTTCTTAACAGAAGTGGCAGATGCTGTACATAAGCATGGGTTGCAGATCTTATCAACGAGAGAAAGAGGACTGCTGGCATCCAGAAATGTACCATCAAACAGTGGAAAAAACTGAAAATGAATAGTTGAAAGTAGTTATTGAGAATAATAGGATAGAGGAAAAGTTTCACTGACTGTGGATGATTATGGGATTTTGCAAGCAGTACTACAGAGCAACATTTTCATGCACATGCACGCCCAGGCATAAATCCATTTACAGTAAAGATGCACATTTTGCAGTTGACAAAAGAAAAAAAAAAAAAAAGGTCGTATGTGTAGGATAACAAAATTTCTGGGAAAACAAAATGACCTAAACGTGATTTAATTTGCACAAGTGAAACAAACTCACTTGACTACAGTAAGAAAGCATTGCTGGCTGACAGTTTGTCATCACCTTTGCCTTTTTGGTTTTCTCCACAGCCAGGAAGTCTCTGCCTGACTTCTGGCTGAGCGGTTTTGCAGAGCAGAGATTTTGGATGACAGAGCTGTCAGCACTTAGCTGAAATGAGGGAACTGTGGAGAAGGAGGGTCAGGTGCAGGCTGGGGTGTGCAGGGGAAAGAAGGCTCCAGATCATCCTAAGTTACACAGGTCGAGGATGTCTCTGTCTCTCTGTTGCCTTTTGCAATTCAGTGCACAGCACTGTCTATCTGGCAGATGCTGAGATGTGCTAAGCAGCCTGAAAACCTCTGCATTTTGATGTGGTTGGATGTTTTTTGGAAGGGTTTCTGCGCTAACTTGGTGCTTCAACCCTGTTGTGCCCTGTGCACATTTTGGGAGCAGGGATTTGGGTCTGCCTCAACTGTCTATGCAAAGGGCTGTCCCTGGAGAAGGATGTGAGGATGCAGTTCCATGAGAGCTTAAGGTACTTAAATTCATTGAGGTAATTGGGTGTGCTCAGGAGCTGCTGAGTGAGCAGTAAAAGATTCCCAAACTTGTTCCCAGGCAGAAAAGTGGTGGAAGAAACCTTTGCTTCCCACAGAGCTATCCCAGGTCTTCTTATCCCACCCCTGGGATGTGTGAATTCCAGCTGTGGCAACAGCTGTAGGAGTCTGTAAAAACCCTCCTGAGAAGTGTAAAATCAACTGCAACCAAGGGCTTGTTTCCTGTTTGAACTCCTTCCATCTTCCAAATTAAAACTGTTGTAGGGGAAGTGAGGGGATAGTGTTCAGCAAACAGATCTCACCCTGCGAGTGGTGGTATTTCTGTAACCCTGGTAAAAGTGATCTACAAGAAACCTGGGTCAGTCTGCAGTGTTGGTCAATGTGTCTGTTGTTGCAGACTGGAGATGTCTGGCATGGACAGAGCACAGAGCAACTTCCCAGCAGCTGGAAATTTTAGAGATTTGTCCTGCTCAGACAAATTTTAGAGTTAGTTTTTTTGTTGTTGTTGTTGTTGTTTTGTTTTGGTTTTTTTTTTTTTTTTTTTTTTTTACTTTTAGGGGGTATAGAGCAAATACAAGAGTAACAAACATTGTATTTGGAGCAATAAAGGAAGCGTTTTTCTTAGAACCACATAGCATATGTACCGCATTTACACTGGACTCCAGTTATAACAGATTTGTCTTCTCTGTTCCCTGGGGAGCTCTCCTGCAATTCCTTCACATTTATTAGTCTGCTCCCACTTGCCTCTGCTTTTTAATTTTTGAAGGCAAATTTTCAGGGGGGCTGGTTTTATATATGCTACTACCAGTCCAGGTGTTAGTTTGTACAGGAGCATTTAATTTTCTTTGGGGGTGAGCTGGATGGAGTGACCACTCCAGCTACAGAAGAGACTTTTATTTTTTCTTTAATGGGCCTGCTTGTTTTATGTTAGCTCTCTGGGAACTGTCTCAAAATTATTAGTCTCCCCAAAGAATGTACATTTTATTTCTCTTAATGAAAAATTTTGTAGAGCTCAATAGGTAGCAGGCTGCTGGGCTACCGTGGATAACTTCAGTTAGTGCTTTTATTGTCTGCTGCTGCCTTACAGGAGACACTTGATTTGTCTTGCCTGTTTTCAAGAATTATTAGTACTGCCTATAGTTACTCAAATCTTTTGATTAGCTAGAGACTTAATAAAGCTGTTTATACACTATTTTTTATGGAAGACTTCAACCCTAGAAATTGCTTTACTAATTGATTTCAGGATGGATTTGCTTGTGGCTGAGGAATTAATGCCTGCAGTGGCACTTACATGACAAATTCTTTCCAATAGCCAATACTGTGCTTGGACTTCACTCTTATTTTTAAGAAAACAAATAATATGCCGGGCATAACTAACCACAGTTGAGTTTTTTCTTCAAAAATATGATTCTAGAAGTATTTTACAGTATTTTTGCTGATTTTGTGTTGCTGCTATTCAAATCTTTCTCTGATGCTTCACTGTGCATGAGCTAAATTAAACTGTGCAGAGCAGATGCCTAGATATAAGAAAGAACTGTTTTTTGATGAGAGTGATGAGGCCCTGGCAGAGAAGCTGTGGATGCCCCACCCCTGGAAACATTCAAGATCAGATTGAGCGGGGCTTGGACCAACCTGATCTAGTGGAGGATTTCCCTGCCTGTGGAAGGGGGTTGGAACCAGACAACTTTGAAAGGTCCCTTCAACCCCAAACCATTCCACGATTCTGTCACTATATTGAACGGGTTCCACTAGTTTCTGTGTACTTCATATTTCGTTGACTGCTACAGGGGGACGGTGTTCAGACAGTTGTGTATCACCTCATGTCTTACTCCGCCTTTCTTTGTTTCTCTACAGCAGCAGAAACACGAGGATAACCCCTGATCTTGCAGCCTGTAGTGACCATACCAGACTGACCCTTTGCTTTGCTGGCATCCTGGCTCAAAGGGTATCTTGGCAGAGAGGGGAAGGAAGCTTAAATTTTACCACAGTCCCTGGAATGGTCTCACCTGTTCAAAAAGCACTGGAACATAAATCAGACTATGGTTTTGTTCACCAGGTTGAATTGCAACTTGGATGCTGCTTCTAGGGGACATTTAGAGGGGCTGGCAGATGCTGTTGCTGCGGCTTTTTGGTGATAAAGGCACAACTAGTCCTATGACAAGCACCCAGGATAAGGTTTTTAAAAAAGTGAGGTTTGGAGTTGGGATCCCACTTTCTCAAAGACACCCCCCACTAACAGATCTCCAAAACAGCCCCACATTGTGAGGCAGAGAGGACAACGCCTGATCTGAATGTTTGTGGTTGCGCAGTCTTTTTGGATTTTAAATCTTCACGTCCTTTGGGTGTGCGATTTTAAACGGATCATTTAAAACAACCTTAGAATGAGGAAGCCTTTTCTGGCAGGCTTCCTCTGCAGAGGTCTTGGAAAAGGTTCCCAAGAAAAGCCCTCCTTAGGGCAGCTGGTGCTCCCCTGTTTTAAAGGGGGAGGCATAAACTGGCAGTGTCGAGACACGTGAAGAGCCTGGTGTGACACCCAACAAACATCAAGGGGAACCTTTGACTTGTTAATTTCTCATGGCTTAATGGAAAGGATCTGCTCCCACAGGAAAGGGAGAGAATGAACTGCAGTAACTGCCACCAGCAGTAACTGTTCATCTCACTTTTTGTATGGAGTTTTCCTATTTCTCACTGAATGCATGTAGGGATTCCATCTTGCTGTCCTGCAATCAGCAGGAAAGAGAGCTATTTGTAAGAAGGAAAATTATTCAAGGAAAAGAAGACTGCTTGATCATTTCTAGCTAGTCTCTTTTCCAGTCTGATTAAAGCATATATACTCATATCTTCACTTAACAAGGAGCCAGAAGGTGGCACCAAAAATGCTATGCAAGCTGTAAGAATATTTACTTGTGTGTGTTGCAGCTCTTAAGAGGTACTAAAAGGGTTAGACATTGATGGGACACAAGAGAGGAAGAGATCAGTCTGTTTATTCCACTTTCAAATACACATGTTCTTAATTTGAAGTGCAGCTCTTGACGTAGTTCTTACATTATTTATTATTATTACACACCAATGCCTTCTCAGCATACTTACTTTGTTAAATTACACCTCTGAAATTAAATGCAGCCTCCTGTCATCTTTAATGTTCTTCTGCCTATTCTTGTAATTATTATTGATAAGAGGTGACTTTCAAGTTAACAGCATGTGGATTGATAAGGCAGCTGTTATTATGTTACCTGAGTGCTTTTTGGAAAGCTTAGCTCAAGGGTAAAACCGTGTTTCCTCTGGAATGTGGAATGCTGAATCCCCAGCCTGCAGACCGCTGGCAAAGGTGTTGCTTGTGGCTGTGCTGTGTGCTTGGATGACGTTTGGAAAGCTGCCCCAAAAAACTGTGCAGTTGTGGATATGTGGAATCAGTGAGCGTGGCGGTTCTTGGGGGTGCACAGGGGGGTGACTCCTGTGCTTATTTTTGAGTCGTGGGGGGGTTTCTGCTCCTTCCGCTTCTGCTCTCCCGCTCTCCTGCTCTCCGAGGCCCTTCTCCTCATCCTCAGGTAGTAGATCCGGTTGGCTTCTGGGTAGGTGACTTTGGAGAGGGGGACTTTGTAGATGGCTGGGTTTTCTGAGTTGATCAGCAGGAAGAGGAGTGCGGAGAAGCAAAAAGGCCAGGTGCAGACTGGCAGCCCGAGCTGTGGGGGGAAGAGAAAACAGACAGAGAGGTGATTTTGGTACTGCTCTTTGCTTGTCCCCTCTGCCTATGTCTGCCTGTGGCTGAATTCTTGCATTTGAGGAGCTGGGAGAGCCCGTGCTCTTCCTGAGGACAGGGTGTAATAGGATATTCCTGAACCCCCCACGTGCAGAGTCCTCCTGTCTGGATTCAGAGATGCAGCTGTTGGGGGCTACGTGTGATCAAGGTTCTTTCTGGTCATTGAAGGGTCTGGGAGGCTCCTCTGCTACCAAATGTCAATTCAGCTGCTTGCACAGAGGTGTCTAATTTATCTGAAGTGTGTGGGGCTACACAAAGCACCTGACACTGGAGACCTCAGCCCTTTTGGAGGTGCAGCTCTTGGTACTGGATGGTACCTTATACCAATATTGAAGCAACTGAATCAGGTTCCAGAGCTCTGATGACTGCAATGAAAGCCAAGACACCCAGCTCACTGGTGGACATTTAAATTCTCTAATAAAAGAGCCAAATTCTACCCTCTCTGCTCTGTAAAATGTCCTGTATTGAGAGTGTTATTCACTCACCCTCCACTGGAACTGTGTGTCACTGGCATTACATCTGACACCCAATCCTTCTCTGTTTCCCCACCTCTTGACCTGACCTGAGGTCTGCCAAAAGCGAGATCTCAGGGAGAAAAAGTGGATGTCCTTTTTCCTGATGCATCCCAAGAGAAGGTGTGCTTAAAGCAGCCCATCTGCAGGGACCTACATGGTACTGAGTGGGTGCCAGATGAATACGTTTAATGCATGAAGCTGCAAGTTTTATTCTTTCTTTTCTTTTAAGTTAGTAAATCAATTTTATTAAAATATGGTTTTGCTTTAATCTCTCAGATCTTAAAGAAGAAACAGAGCCTGGCATTTCTGGCTTCACCCCTTTCTTGATTTGTCCAAATATATTAACTTTGTACTTAAGAGAACAGTCTCTCCCTCATTTTAGTTCTTACATCCAGTTCAAACTTTAATAATATCTGTGGGTGTAGCTGGAGAAAGACCTTGGAAGAAGAAAGTGAAAATTTAGACCACTGGGAATTGCTAAAAGATATTGTTCAACTAAGCGTTTAATCTCAAACCATATGCTGTTCCTGGAACTCACATACACATGCACAACCCTGCTGTGGATAACATGCTACAAAGGTCTTTGAAATCTTATTATCAGACATAGAGTCTCCAAGGGCACAATTCAACTGACCCAGAGTTTGTACAAGACCTGTCACTGGCTGCAGCATTCTCATTTCAGTGCTGTCAAAGGTGACACGGGGAATTCTGAGGGATTTCCTCAGCATTATATGAGGAAAAAACAAAACATGGTTAAAACAAAGAAATAACACCCTCCCCCCCCTCCCCAATTTTAAAACAAGGACCCAAACTTACCACAGAGAGAGCATTAGCAAGGGCCGCTCCAGAGTAGGCACAAAATAATGCTGAGAAAAGAAGATCAAAGAGAGCTTAGGATGTGGAAAATGTTGTTCAAGCCTCCAAAGAAATTATCACAAACAGTAGGACTGTCGAAATGCACAGCTACCTGGTGTGAGGATTGATGCTATAATTCAACAATCAGTTGAAATGTCCCAATGTTGTGATCTCTTCTCCCAGGTAACAAGTGATAGGACAAGAGGAAACGTCCTCAAGATGCACCAGGGAGAGGTTTAGATTGGATATTTGGGAAACTTTCTTCACAGAAAGGGCTGTCCAGCCCTGGCACAGCTGCCCAGGGCAGTGCTGGAGTCCCCATCCCTGGAGAGATTTAAAAGCTGTGTGGATGTAGCACTTGGGGACGTGGGTGAGTGGTGAGCTTGGCAGTGCTGGGGAAACAGTTGTACTCAGTGATCCTAAAGGTAGGTTTCAACCCAAACAATTCTATGACTACATTTCATCCTCTATGCTCTGTAGAGATGGATGGTGAATGAAAACCTCAGTTTTGTCATCGCTTTGCAAGCGATGGTGGCCTTTCTTTTATCTTTAATTACTTTTTACTTGACACTTGACCCTTATGCAGAGGGAATTGCAGAAATTCTCCAGAAGGGTGGGAATGCAGTAATTCTCTGTCCTATGCCTTCACACCACAGGCAGTCAGCAGTGGTCTCCTCCTCCCCGTGTGCCAGAGGTGGGAAAACAGCAGCAAAGGTCAGGCAAGCAAGGACTAAATCAAGGAGGAAGAAGCCACTGACCAATCTAGAAACTGTGCTCAGCCCAGAAAACTACTGAAATGAAGATAATTGGAGGCTGGGTGAATCTAAGGAATTCCTTAAAAGGGAAACTGCTGTTGCAGATGGAATTTTAAACTGACCTTGTGCAACAGCTCTCTTCTTATGACATACTTCCTCTAACGATACCTGCAGTTATGAAAAGGCTGCTTTTGTGAATCTGTTGTGGAATAGCTTGTGTTCCTTTCACAAATGGTGTTTCCACCCTTTCCAGATGCTTCCACGTTATCAGGGTTCTAATGCTGCTCTCTGTGTACTCTCACTTGCACATTCAGGCTCAACGCTGGTGCCATCAGAGAAACAGCTCTTGCATGGTACCTTTGTTTGGTGGCTGACTCTAAACCTGCACTACTCATAGGCTGCCTGGCTGCACAAATTTTTGGTTTCCCTTTATGCAAGAGGTACTTACCACAGGCAAGTGAGAGCAGGTGTGTCTGCCAGGTCAGGGCGTAGAACATGCCCCCGATTGCGATGCAGGCCAGGGCACAGTTGTAATTGTGTAAGCCAAGGTAGATGCTGTCAAATGGGGATGCAATGCTCAGTGCTGCAAGACAAAAGGCAAGGCTGGGAGGTCAGGCATGAGAAGTATCTGCAGGAGGACCTGTCCCTTGCTGGGAATCCGTTGTCTCTTTGCTTTGATGTCTAGATGGACTTATCTGTACTCGCGTTTGCATAATATGCACGTGGAGAAAAAGGAAGCCCATTATCTTGGAGCCCTGATAGTGTCCCTGGGGTTGGAATTTGGCCCAGTCTCAAAGTTTCATTTAGGCAAAAACTTTCTGTGCATGCACTGAGTGTGTTGCAGTTGGTCCCCCAAGATGACGAAGTGGAGGGTCCGGCCACGAGAGCCTGCTCCCCTGGGTGTCCTCCTTGCAGAAAGCTGTGCTCACACATACTGCTTAAATATAAATCATACAGACCCTGATCTTGGATATCAGAGACACAACTGCATGTCTTTTGGGAGAGTGTAGGCAGGGTTTCCATCTCTTCTTCCTAGTGACCTTGGCTAGGTGTGGTCTAGTTGCTAGAGATGGTCCCTTCATCAGTGCTGCGGAAATTCTCCAGGGGGGTGGGAGCTGAGGGTCTGCTCCAGATCTGACCTCACAGAAACCTTTGCAGGGTTCCTCACGTTGTCTAACTTCAAAGGTCATGTTCATGTCTCTTAACTTAATATGGTCTCTCTGGTTAGTGGAGACATAGCCACTTTTAGCAGCATTCATTTAGCTATTTTTACAAATCCACAGCAGGATAGAGCAAACTGCACCTAGAAAAGTATTTTCCTTTTGCTGGGCTGATCAGCTCTGAGGCAGACATCTGCTTATGGTGGTAATTTAAAACAACTGTGGTGGCAAGAGATCAGCTCTGAAACTCTTTTTCTAGGTTTCTTTGAGATCATCTCCGTGGGATTCACCACACCCAGTGGCTGGAGGGCTAAGCAAGGTGGAACAAACCACATGCCTGAGTTACAAATCTATTAACAAATTCAAAGCTCAAAGAAAATCTTGTTCTGTTCTTGCCTTCACTCTGTTCTGCGACCTTCAGTAAGAGCTTCCAAATTTAGAGACAGTTGAAAAATGAGAGTGTTGCCCCAATTACCTATGAGCACACATAGCTGTAAAGCCTGGACAGAGTCGTGTAATGGCTCGGGTCAAGATATCTTGGTCGTAAAGATTACCTTGGTGAATATTTCTTACCTGCAAACATCCCCACTGTTGATCCAATTGCAGCGTGTAAACAAATCAGTGGGGAGGAGATAAGCAAAGCCACAAGGAAAATGCCTCCAGTCCAGGGGTTTCCACAACCATACACTTGACCAACTCCAACTGGGATGGATTGTAGGAGCTGCAGCAGAGGGTAGAAAAGGGCATGTTATTGTCTCTCTGTACCCTGAATGATACAGCAGTTATTTTTTCCAAGATACTGGCTGAACTGGAAAGGAAGGGACCCTGGCTCTGAGTTGGACTGTGAGTAAATCATGAAGTCATAGAATAGTTTGGGTTGGAAGAGACCTTAAAGACAAACTCCTTCCAATCCCTTGCCATGGGCAGGGACACCTTCCACTATCCAAGGTTGTTCCAGGCCCTATTCAACCTGACCTTGAACACCTCCAGGGTGGGGCAGTGGGCAACCTGTTCCAGTGCTTCACCAGTCTCACAGTCAAGCATTTTTTTCTAATACCTGATCTAAACCTACTCTCTTTCAGTATGAAATCATTGCCCCTTGTCCTAAGTGCTTCTCCATCTTCCCTGTAGGCTCCCTTCAGGTACTGGAAGGCCACAATTAGGTGACCCCAAAGCCTTCCCTTCTCCAGGCTGAACAATCCCAGTTTTCTCACAGCCTTTTCTTGTGCAAGAGGTGCTCATCCTTCTAATTAACTAGGTTTCTCTCCTCTGGACTCGCTCCAATGTCCATGTCCTTCCTGTGTTGTTCTCCAGGGTTGGAGGCAGCTCTGCAGGGGGGTCTCACCTGAGGGGGCAGAGGGGCAGAATCTGCCCCTCTCCTGCTGCCCATGCTGTGGGATCAGCCCAGGACAGGGGGTTTCTGGGCTGGGCCATGTCCAGCCTCTCCCCCACCACCCCCCCAAGTCCTTCTCCCCAGGGCTGCTGCTGTTGATTGCTACCCTCTGGATCAGTTAACCTTTGTGCTGTTTTGGGAAGGTGACCCTCCAGATCTACACCTAGATATGGGTAAAAAGGAGTTTCTGTCGCTTTGGAATCCTGATGTTTCCTCTGAATTTTCATTTTGCCACTTACTGTCTTGCTGATGTCCTGTTAACCCAAACTGGACAGCAGGAGGGACTGTCCATGTGTGCTCCTGCACTGACAGCACGTGAGAGACTTGTTTTGGGGCAGTCCAAGTTTAGGTGGAGTGAAAGGCTCAGGATCTCTGTTCCCTCAGGCTCCACCAGCCTTTCTGCTGGATCAGCCAGGACTGTGCCTGGGGATTTTATGGCACTGCTCTCTTTGCACTGAACGGTGTTTCTGTGAATTGTCCTGGCTGTACATACCATAGTCATTCTGAGCCACGTGAAGGTGTCATCCAGAGATTAATAAATTCACACTGACCTTTCTGTGAAATAGCATGAATCTGTTGGTGGGAAGCTTACCAGTGGCACACTGATTGCAGACCAGGTGATGTTGGGCACTGCAGCCACAGGCTTGATGAGGGTTGTGGGGAAGAAGGGGTTGTAGTGTCCTGTGGCTGCCAAGTAGAGAGTCACCGCAATATTGAAGGGCAGAGTGAAAACAGGAAGGTCCCATTTACTAAAGATGGATCCCAAAGCACTGGACAGGACTGGGCTGAGAACAGGAGAAGGGATGTGAATATAACTTTTTCATAACAATTATAGTGGTGGAACATTTAGAAACATCAGGTAGTGAATACCTCAATATGTCAGTTTGCATCAGACAAAGAGTTTCAGAATGCTGTTCATCTTTCTGAAGAAACTATCATCTAATCCATTCATGGATGGTGCAGACTCCACACCCTTCTCTCAGGACAGCTACTCTGGTAGCTACGCTGAGCTCAGGGAATCAGCAAAGAAATGTATCTAATACAGCATTTAGGCATGGACGGAGACAGGTAATCTGACTTCTTGTTCAGGAGATAATTTCAACAAGAAACAGAAGAGCAAATTTTGGGAATGCTTTGTGAAAAACTGTGGAGCACTTGAGATGCTCTAAAAAAGCTTCTCTCTTGAGGAGGCAAGAGGGAGCTGGAAATTACCTAATTTACCTTTTTTTGTTTGTTTGTTTGTTTTGTTTTTGTTTAAACAGTGGGAAGGATATCAGAAGATGGCTCTGGAAGAGAAATAAAGCAGAAGAGGTGACCAAGGAGGGTGGAAAATCTTCCACTAAGGAACACAGAAATATTTGTTATGTTAGACGCTGTTTTTTGGGGAATGAGAAGTCCTTAGGACTCCTCAGAGTCTTACACAGAGTGTAAGATGAAGCCACCAGTGTAACAGAGCTGTGCAATGCATTGGTGCCAGACATCACCCAGACCTTGACTGATATTTGAGTGTATGTCAAAGACAGTGATGTTACTTTGTGCTGCCTAGGTACCATCCAGAATCACATGGCATTTTCTGAAAACTGAGATTCATCTTTAAAAAAAAAAAGCTTGATTGAATATATTTAACATTAAAGAGTGTGGGTTGACCCTCAACCTATTAGGGGCAGAACACTAAAAAGCATTCAAACCTTGAAATGCCATGACCTTTTCCAAAGTTTTTGTCTGTAGAACCTGGAATGCAAACTTTGCCAGATCTCAGGATCATTTTCAGGACTGCCGGATTTCCACTTGAAGTGTGTGTCCTACATGAAGGACTCTTTATGGGACCATGTTGGCAAGGTAATATATGATATTTATGGGGCCCAGAAATCTTGTGGAAGAGAGCAAATGGCCAGGTCCTGTTCTTGATGGAAATGGCGTGTATTCTGCTGCTTTTAGTTGAGCTCCTCTGATACAAGTGAGTTGAACAGCTCTTATGTTCCGCTCCAAGCAGAAGTGGACATTGCACAGTACGCAAAAAATCAATTTAAAGACTTAATTTCTTCAAGAAGCCGTTATTTGAGTCCTAGAAGGTCATTAAGCTGGTTATAATAAAAAAAACCCCACCCCACCCCAACTATTTGGCATTTCAAAAGCAACATCTTGTGTCCTGCTGTGTAGATGCTATCAGTGGGAAAAATGCTTTGTTCTCCTTGTATAATCTCAGATGAAGCCTATTTTTTTTTTTTTTTTTACAAATTTGGTCCCCAAAGGACTTTACAGATTTATTGCTTCTAGCTGTAGGAAACTAAAAAAAAAAATCAGTACTTCAGTGAAAATGGTGTCCTAATTTCTGTGCTGAAACACAAAGCTTCTGCCGCTTATACATCTTGTCAGGAAAAAAGGAAACAATTAAAGAAATGCTGACTTCTAAGGCTGAAATTCAAAATATCAGTTAAAACATCACTGAACTGTCTAATTTTAAAATCTTTCAGCTCTACCCTCGAGTCTTGTGAACTAAAAGAATGAAGAAAAGTTTGAACAAAAAGCCTCAAGGAATTCTGGCAGATAAGACAAGCTAAACATTCTTGTAGCATGCACTGGGTTTTGAGAGATTCTTATAAAATGACCTTTGCTGAGAGAGACTAAAGAAATGAAATATATATATATATATAAAAATCTGATCTTAAAAGCAGTGAAATCCAATAATGACTTGCATCTTATTGCTTACAGTGATTAAAATGTGTCAAATTAATTCCAGTTAAGGCTGTTAAATAGATTCTGCAGTGCTGTGAGGGTCCGTGTTTAAGAATGGCAAATTTAATCCTGGAAGGACACAGCCTGGCGTTTGGAGTTACTTGGGGGAATTAATTTTGCTCATGGCTGGTTGCATGTCTGAGAAGGGACTGAATACTGAATTCAGCCCAAGGGAGAGCACAGGGTCGGTTCAGTACCTGGGTGTGGAGGAGCTGTTGTGGTGTTGGGCATGATGACCTCCACCCCGAATGTGTCCAGTTGCTGAGGGATGCTTTTGGAGAACTGGGGTGGAGTGGCTGCTTTATCAACGTGCTATAATCAGTGTTGTCTGTGCCCTCAACTCCTACGACATCCCTCAGGAGCTCTGTGTATGGATGAGCACATCATTCCACTGCCACCACTGCAGGAGTTACTGGTGTAGAGGGGACTTCAGTGTGTTCAAGCTGTTTATGGCCAGAGAATGGTATATATATCCTTGAGAATTGTCCTGAGGAGGAGCAGGGGTACTTACCAGGCCATGGATATAACTACCACAGGAGGGAGAAGCCACCAGTAGTAATCCCCTTTGCTGGAGTAGACGGCCATGAGCAATCCCACCAGCATCCCGTTGTAGCCGTGCAGCCCAGCTGAGATGGCTGATCTGTGATGGAAATAAATGTCTGCAGGGTAGCAAGGCATGCTGGAGAAACAACTTGTAAGTGCTCTGCTCCCAGGGAAGGGAGGGATAAAAAAGCAGTGAGTTTGCTGATGTACTGTCTCTCACTGGTGTGTGGAAGGGGAGAGTTTGGGGATTTTTGGATGATGGTGGTCTAGGGGGCTCCTTAATGACCTGTAGGAGCTGCATGGTGGTGACAGTCGCTATCAGAGAGAGTTAATCATCTATTTTCATGGAAACAGACAGTTGTGAGGACAGGCCAGAGCTTCCTGGGCCACGGCTCTGTCCTCACCCAACTGCTTCCAAACCCTCTGTAAGGAGAGCCAGTCTGCTGTCCATAACGAGTGGCTACGAGCCACCAGTGGGCTCCAGGTATTACAGCAAAACAGTTTTTATGAAGTGCACGAGGACATGAGGTGCCACCTACCTGTCCTGACTGAGAGCCAGCGCGGTCAGCGTGGACACAGCGGTGCCGGTGCAGCCCGTGAGCATCCACCAGGGACTCTGGATGAAAAGCCCCGCCAAAATGATCAGCCCACTGAAGGGGTTGTTGACAAACATCACCTGAGAGGTCCCTCGCAAGATCCAGTCCACCAGCTGGACCATTAAGGGCTTGTCTGGAGGAGATCAAAGGAGAATGCTGTCGATAAGGCATCATCTGAGCAAGGCACCCTCATCCCTGCAGCTGCTTTCTGGTCCACAGAACAGAGGTGATGTATTAATGGGAGAAACTGTAAAGCCACTCTCTGATTCATTGCTGTCTCAGCGTATTTTGCATCTGGCACTTGAAAACTAATAGGGACGGACTGGGCACTGCTATAAAGTTCGTGGAGGCATTGATAAAAAAGTGATTTATTTATGGTGGTCAAAGAATAGTCAAACAGTTACTTGCATGGTAGATCACATTAGATTCTGCTATAAATTTAATGGGGAAACAGACCCTTTTTAGTGTATGATTCAGATGCAGAGAGGGACTCTGAAACTGGTTTGTATGTAGACAGGGAAATATGAAAAGGAAACAGTTTTGCTGTTTTAGGGAGAAAATCAGCAACTGAGAACATGGAGGTACACTGCATATAGGAGATCAAAGGGGTCAAAGGTGCCTAAAAAGTATTTTGAGAGCTAAAAGAACTAAACTAAGAAAATAGATACTATGTCTTGGACTGTATTCAGGGCAAAGAGGCATTTTCAAGGGACAAAGAGTTATTGCTCTCTAGGGAAGGCTATTTAACCTGGACAGAGCAAACAGGCACTAAGCTCAGGTGCCTCAGGTGAGTGCAAGGGGAAGGTGGGATGAGGGCAGCCTGTCGGAGGGCATTTATGTACAGTGATCTCCTTGGGCAGAGGAGGGACTTGTAGCATGCAATAAATGTTGCTGCTGGTACTTGGCTTGAATTTTTTCTTTCTTCCTCTCTTCTGGGAGAACTGTAACCATTTCTGAACTGCTGTGTGTTATTAAACACACAGCAGGAGAATAGGTGTAAGGAGAGTAGGCAAGAAAGAGGAGCTTGCATGTACAAAATGTTCAGGCAGTGTGTGTCTGCAGCTCTCACCTTCCTAAAGATTTGCAATTAATTCTGTTAGCTTAGATTGTTAATTAGATGCAGCATAAAGTGTCAAGCTACTTTTTGAATATGGGCAATGACTTATTCCTAAAAAACCTCTTTCCAGGTAGGGTTAAGGAGGAGGAATGAGGAGGAGTAAGAATGAGTTCCTTAGATAAAAATGACCAGCCTTGTCTGAATTAATTTTAACTCATATTTGATATTGAGATGTGAAACACGTATCAACAGTGTGCTCAGATTCAGATGCAAGTGTTAACTGTAAAAATTCAAATATAACCAGAGGACAGTGGCCAAAGGTTTTCAAAACATTGAGTATGGACTGCTGGAGCAAAGGCAAACAAGAGGAGATGTTCCCCTGCGTCTGGGGGTCACACACACTGCAGCCTGATAGGTCTGTCTGGATCATTTCATCCCAGCTTCTCCACCAGTGACAGCTGCTGCACAGCCTGTCTGTGCACTTATTTCTCTCCCACTGCTGCAGTGGTTCTGCTAACAAACCTAGCCCTGACAGGGGGACCCACAGTCTTACACAGACTCTCAAAAACCCACATTCCTGGTAATTCTGGGTAACAGGGACCATCTGCTCATGCAGTGCTCCTGTCTGGACAGCAAACCTTTGAGATCAGTCTCGGTTTGAATTTTATAGCATCATAACACCCACAGTGCCTATTGCTGCCCCACAGCTGGCAAGACAAGAGCCTTTGCCCACACAATTCCCATTGTCAGCCCACATGTGGGTGAGGAGCAGTGGCTGATCCAAAGCAGTTACAAACGAGACTCGATCCCTGGCCCTGACGTGTGATTCTGGGCACTGCTATAAGGAGTGTGATGCTAATGACACATAGCTGATTCAAGTGTAAAAGATGTCTTTGGCCTGTGCTGAATTTTGCGTGCAGCCATGGTGGTGGAAAGAGGATGCAGTGGGATTTCCTTCCTGAGAATGAGATAATTAAAAAGGCAGAAGTTTGCAATGAGCTTGGACCGTGCTGCTTCTGCTCTGCCTCGGGGAGTGAAACAGACTCTCATGTCGTGCCCCAGCACTGAAAGTACTGTTGGCAATAGAGATGGACCCAGCCAGAGAGCCCCAAACACGTCCCCGTGCTTACTTTTCATCCACTCTCCATATTCTTTCATTTCTCCTGTGAGATACCCAAAACCCTGGTGGATCCAGTTTCCGCTTCTCCACAGCAGGTCCTGGGCTCTTGGCGCCCGCCTCTTGTACATCTGCCTCTCACTGGAATGTTCAGTCACCACGATCTCGCCGAGTTCCATCTCTTTTCGGGTGAAGGACAACTGTAAATCACAGAGATGGTGTGTTAGAAAAACCTTTTGGGTTGGGCCCTGACAGCCTTCAGAACCCCGTGGTGACGTCTTTTTTCCAAAGATGGGATGTTCTTGGAGGAGGGACCTGCCTGATCCACTGCTGAGAGTGGTGTGTGCTGCTGCTGCCCAGGGCAGTGGTGTCCCCTCCTGGGGATGAGGGCCAGGCAGTGACCCGCTGCTGTCATGGAGCTGTGGCACAGAGCTTCAGGGGAGAAGAGGGATGTGGCCCCGGTGCCCTGCAGCATCCCACCATCACTCCTGCTCCTTTTGCAGCCCAGCAAGCTTCTGGCTTGACAGGGCACGTGACATTTCCCAAGTAACTGAGTGGTACCTGTGTGCTCACCATGCTTGGCTGAGTATAGCTCAGGAGGAAGACTGCTGATGTTTGGCTAGCAGAGAGCTGGAGGGAAGCAATGCAAATTGCCAGTGCAGTAGCAGAGAACAGGGGACAAGAAAATACCAGAGGAGAGGTTGAAGTGTGTATCCCTTTTGATGTTTTGAGCTGGTGCCTTCATGTATCACCTCTCATTCCACATCTGCCTTTGATGGATTATCAAGAGCAACCTGGGGTAGCATCAAAGTGTTGCACAGAAATCAGCGTACACATCTGGCTTTCGACAAAGATAAGCACTCTGGCTCAGGGCTGTGTGTATTTTAGTTAGCAGGTTTGTATTCATCAGGAGTAGGGCTTTATTAACCTCACCATTACAGTTGCAGGGCTTCGTTCATTAAAAAGTCCATTACAATAAAAACTCTAAAGAGAAAATACGCTGCACTTCAGAACCTTAACGACCTTAACAATTCTATCATTCTATTCCATGGTGCCTGTTTTGTTTGTTCATAAAATAGCGCTACACCGCAGGTCACACCCGCAAATCTGCCTCCCTGCTGCCTGAGGGAGTCTGGCATCACCCGTGGGTTTTGCTCTAATGGCTTTGGAAAAGCCGGACTGGGTTTCTTCTAGGTGTTTCCCCAAAGCGGACTGCCTTGAGGGGCTTGCCCCCAGTGCCGTGGAATATGGGCACCATCTCCTGGTGGGAGGCTGTTTTCGGGTAGCTCAGACAGGCAGGCAGGCTGTCTGCTGCGGCGGCAGCCAGGACGGGCTGGGAAGGGATGCTCGGCTGCAGGGAAGGCTGTTCTGCAGAGGCGAACACCGACAGGCGGATGGTAAAAAAGGATCTGCTGCTCTGAATGGCCTCCCGAGAAGGTCCTCGGGCATCGAAAAGCTGTTTTCCCTTCATCCCTGGCAGCGCGTTGCGCGGCGCCTGTTCCCCAGTGCTCTGGCTCTCTCTGCCGGCAGCTCGTCCCCACGGCAGCGAGAGCCTTCGGGATGACCTCAGCACCAGCCCGGGGGAGGGATGTGCCGGCGAGAGGTGTTGCTCTGCGGAGCTGTGTAAACTAAGCCTAAGCATCGCTCAGTCTGCGCGATCCCGACGGAGGAGAAGCGTAGGAGGTGTGGAGTGGTCTAAAGCAAGAAATGCGGTTGTGCAAGGAGCCTCCAAACCTTGAATCAGAGAGAATGGTTTGGGTTGAAGGGACCTGAAAGGACATCACATTTCAACCCCTCTGCCATGGGCAGGGACACCTTTCACTATTCCAGGTTGCTCCAAGCAACATCCAACCTGGCCTTGGATGCTTGCAGGGATGGGGCAGCCACAGCTTCTCTGGGAAACCTGTGCCAGGGCCTCACCACCCTCACAGCCAAGAATTTCTTCCTTATATCAAACCTAAATCTCTCCTCTTTTAGTTTAAAATCAGTCCTCTTTGTCCTGTCACTTCGGGCCCTTGCTCAAAGTCCCTCCCCAGCTCTCTTGGCCTCCAAGGTCTCCCCAGAGTCTTCTCCAGGCTGAACAACCCCAACTCTCCCATACTGTCTCCAAAGGAGAATTGATCCAGTCCTGGCTGGTGAGTGTCCCAGGGGGTTATAAACAGTGGGGTTCCCAGGTTCTGCCCAGCTGGACTCAATGCAGGAACAAGCAATGAGAAGAGGAAGAGGGGTGCAGTGGTTTTATTGTGATCAAAGGGCTTGTGGATGTTGTACCTGGGGACAAGGGTTAGTGGTGGGATGGCAGCGCTGCATTAATGGCTGGACTCGGTGATCCTAGAGGGCTTTTCCAACCTTAACAATTCCATGATTTTTTTCCACGTTGCCTATTTTGTTTGTTTGCTCATGTCCTTCTAGAAGTCTTTGCGAAAGAATTCCAAGGGTTGAGGTGGGCTCAAACAGCTGCAGTGGATCCACGTAAAAGAGACTGAAATGTCTCTTACGTCCTGGAATTCTCAAGGATCCATTAATAAAGAAATGCCAGGGGTCCCTTTGCTGTGAGCAGTAATCACCCTGAGCAGTGCAGTACAGCTTTAACCAGGAGGGAGGATAAAGACTGAGTAGTTGTGTCTATTCATCATAGCACCTGAAAAACTTATGGTTGTTTAAAACCTCACCTGGAAAAACTGCTTGTGGGTTTTACAAACAGCAGCATGACTGCAGAGCTCCTAAACCGTGTATTTATAAGATTGCACAGCTCAGTTCCCTCTGAAACTGGGATGTGTGAGCTGTGAATTTTTAAAACTCTTGTCTTTGCTCACATCATTTAACGATTAGGGGTTAAGGGCAAAGTTGTTGTGTTAGACCCCTCTGCAGTCAATTCCTCTACATCCCCAGAGAGCGATTCATATCCCATTGTTCTTACATACCTATCTGAGATGTGAAAAAAAGGGTGTCTGCCTCTTTTTTTCCACTGGCTGCAGAGGGAGCCCGGTGGCTGAGCTTTTAGAGGGTTGTTTTCAGGCAAGAAGAACTCCAGCCTAAGAGATTTTGCCAAGGTCAACCTTGAAGTTTCTGGAAGTGGGATCTGTAGTCCCAGGTTATTGCTTTTGAATAACTGGGCCATCTGTAACAGGCCTGTATTCCACATCAAGAAGGGCATCAGAGTTCTGGGGCTAAGAAAAAAGTTATTGCCTCTTTACAATTCCTCTTTGCTTTCTTCTTATGAATTGGAAGGAACTAAACCTCTGCTTGAAGGGAGCACACGTACCCTCCAGAGCTGGAAAGGCAGCTTGGGACACAACTGGAGGAGATGGCTGAAGAACTACCAAATTTTGGGGGAAAGAGGAAGTGCAAAAAAAAGAGATTTGGGGGTGCTGAAAACCTCTACACATGGGGCTTTACATCAGATAATCCTGAGGGGCTGCAACAGCTGGGTGAGATCCTGGAGGGCTGTGATGAGCACAGTGATCCCTGCAGGAACATCACCCTGGAAAAGCACCATTTCTTTGCAGCAAGCGCCTGTCAGTCTGTGGATAGGCTGGTGCTCAGTGGTACAGGCTCCATGAATAATAGAGAAATCATTTGAACAATTATCTAATTAGGGCTAATGAGAGCCTGAATCACTTATGGCACACCTAGGGCTGATGAGGAATTCCCTGAGAAAAGGGCCTTTTTGTCAGCAAACAGTGATTCATCAGTGTGGTAATGAGCAGTCCTGCTCGTTAAGGACATTTATCAGACTGCAGGGTGATGCTGGGTGATTAGGAGTCACCTCCAGACCTACCTGTGCCTGCTCATCCCCAAACAGACCCCTGCTGTAGCCTGCTTTTGAGGCACAGGGTGCTGACAGCACAGAGATGTGTATTTTTCAAGCCTCCCAGAGCAAGCTCTGTGTTTCTCTTTGTGCTGCTGGAGAAAATGTTCCCAGCGTAGCACCATCACACAGCCTGCAGTGATCTGGTTGTCTCATGAAAAGAAAAAACACCTTTTTCTTTTTTTTTTTTTGGTCAGAGTAGTGAGATGGTGGTGGGTGATGAGTAACACTTGAGCCAACTTTTTTGCAGGGCTGCTGTTTGTGTTGGGAACTTAGCCCTGTGCTAAGGTACCTGAAGCCAAGCCTGGGTAATTTATCTTTCCACATCTGTGCTGAAAGCAGAGTGATCAGAAACACACTGGCTTCGAGGGATGTGGCCACACAAGGGCCTTGAAAGGAAGCAGTTTGCAAAAGCACATTTCTCTCCTAAGAAGCCATAAAGGAATAGAAAAGAAAAGCCATGTACAGATAGAGGGAAAAGCTTTGGGATGGTGACAGAATGCTTGGCTGAGTCATAATGACTTTACCAAGTGAGGCTCTACCAGGGATCAAACAGTGATGTTGAAGGCAAATGAATGGAGGAGGGCATTTTGGAACAGCTGCTGAGGGTGAATGCAGCACAGTTTCTGGGAACAGGTATGAAACCCTTAGCCACAGACCTTTAAAGTAAAAACAAAAAAAAAGCCCAAACAGAACCAAGCAAACAAACAAAGAAACAAACCTACCCCAAAAGAAAAAAAATGCTCAAGTGATCTAATTTCCTATCACAGGCATTAAATGAAGCCACGTTCCAGAGCAGCTCTGTCATTTCTGTACAAGTACAACTACCACAAGACAGTTAGCAATCAGGATAGTTTAACTTAGGGGGCTAAATATGACTCTTACATCCTTATTTAGATAATTGGCTTTTACATTGTGGTCTTGGAGCCTTTCTGTGTCTTCCTTTCCCAGTCTCTGGACTGTGTAATGCAACACTTATCTTTGCTCCAAGGCAAAACTTTACTGCTTCTTCTTTCCCCTCTGTTGCAGCAGTATGTCCCAGTCTACCAGTGAAGGCACAGAGTTTATTTGATGGATGCACTGGTGTCTGGAGTAGAACCTGTGCTGGCACTATTTGTGTGTGACATGTGTGCGTGTAACTGTGAAGAAGGAGGGTTTGACTTCCTTGCCACTCCTGAATGGTGTTTGTAGAGAAGGATTTTTAGAATCATAAAGTGATTTGGGTTGAAAGGGACATTAAAGGTCGTCCTGTTCCACTCCCCTGCCATGGGCAGGGACACCTTTCACCACCCCAGGTTACTCCAAGCAACATCCAACCTGGCCTTGGACACTTGCAGGGATGGGGCAGCCACAGCACCCCTGGGCAACCTGTGCCAGTGCTTCACCACC